TGTCATGAGTTTCAACATCAAGAAGCGCAACTTTCTTCTGGTCAGTGTAATGCCAATACTCTCTATAACCTATTCATATTTATGAATCTCAAACTCTATGTCTGCACATGTCCTTTGCCTTCCATGGATGATCACTGTCTGAGCTGCACACCAATATCATGCACTGTCCGACCCAGGTATTGAGAACTCTCTTTCCTCTCTTTCTTTGAAGGCCATCGCTAGTAGGTTGGAGGCCATTCAAATCTTGCCAATGCTGAACTTGATGTTAACATTGCAGGACTGTCATGGTTGAGGGAAAAGTATATGTATGGCGCTTCTCTTGAGTGGAGTGAGATCATCCAAGACTAGTCAGGCACATTCAGGCTCCTTTTTTGTTGGTAGGACAATGAGATGACTTTGATCTTGTGAGACGATGAACTTGTGCCTGGCCACCAACAATGGCCAAGGAAAAGTGGTTCCTCGACTCGCAGGTCGGGCATCAAGACCTGCAAGCATTCTTGAAATCGCAGGCTCGCAAGGCAGGCTTCCATCGCACGCCGCAAGCAGCCACAAGCAGCTGGAGTTTGTGCCAACCGGCTTTGCCGGGTTGAGCGCCCGGCTCTCAAAGATTGAAGCTGTTCCAGGCCTGGTAAACATGGATTCCCCAAAAAAGTTGGACAGTTGACCTCTTGAGGTTGAAGCTTCCCATGTGTTGGTCTGTGGATCTGTATATAGATTACAATGGAAGATGTATGGATATCCCACATCAAGCTGATTCAGCAACGAGATGCAAAGAGTCACTCAAAATTTGTGGCCCTTGGAGCAGGATTGATTCCACTTCAGCTTGTGGCTTGGTGGCTAACACACTTTTGCCATCTGTCAGTCTGTCTTTTGAGGTTTTTTTTGATGTCCATCACTACGTTCAGCCTGCGATGCAGGCCTTGACACCTGGGAAATCAGCACACAATGTCGTCTGCATTGAAAAGCTGATTCTTGAATCCACTGGCACAATATGGTTGAGCACTAATACTGTTATGGATTTTTGCAAAGATTTGAGCACTTGCATATGGTTGCCTCTGCTTGCATGCCAAACTACTTTGAACCCTTCATCGTCCTGGTCTTGATCCATCCTCAGGACAATTGCATCAGTCAACTTTTGTAGGGAACGGTGAACACCCCGTGGCAAGCTACGGGTACTATCCTGCTTGTCCGTTGCAATGATAGCCTTGTCAACCAAATTGATTCGAGCATCTCCACTTCCGGCATAGAGGCCATAGTCGGATTTCTGGAGCGTTGATACCTTGGAAAAGGAAACGTGCTTCAGAAATGCACAGGAACAAATACTGGCATTGAGCCAATTCATGCCTTCAATAGCAAGCTGTTCCAACAGTCAGCCCCCAGCAAAATGTCAGAATGCTGACAAGCTGCTCCATGGCCACGAGTTCTGGCATGGTGTAGCTCCTGGAGGGGTTTTCTCAACATGTGGATGTATCGATGTGGCAGCCATGACAATGAGGTGTCGGAAATGCTGAGCTGTTCGGTCGAACATGCTCTGCGAACAGCAAACCAGGGGCCCCTGGTCCTGAACTCAGGGATGTCCTTGGCAGACAGCGAACACTCTGTGATCTGTGAGAACAAATGACTTGATCCCACACACACACACACACTGAGACATGCAGTAACCTGTCCAAATTTGAGTATGAAGCATATCATATGAGCATATATAGATATAAACACATCGAACAAAATGTTATATAGTTTAGTATAATCTTAGATGTCGTGACAAAAGGAATGCAGGACTTGAGGAAGTCAACAATGTTCCGGATGGCAAAAGGATGCCTTCATAAGTTAAACAAGGCGATTGTTCCACAGAAATCGAAATCCTGTGCACGAGTGGAGGGTTTCCCAACACAGGGCTGAGTTTGGAAGAAAGAAGGTGCATCTATGCCAGCCAAGCTTCGTCTAGCGTTCTTGTTTGCCATTTGTGCACGTCATCCGACACTTGTCGTGTGTTGTCCTCAGATCGCCGCACGTCGTCATCCGTTAATGGTTGACGTTCATCCGCAGTTTACAGAAGGCAGCCAAGTTATGGCGATCGTCACACGTCGTCTATTGGGTTGGAGGCCATTGCTATTAGGATGCATGCAAGCGTCAAGCATTGGAAGTTCACCCTGAGTGGAGGTTGGAGACAAACCCATGCGATTCGGCTCTTGGCCTCAGCGAAGCGAATGTCAGAACTCCGTTTGGCCTGATCTGCGGCCAGGAGGTGAATTGCGGAAAACATCTGAGGTGGTAACTGGCAGTAGTGGCAGCACTGAAGCTGTAGTAGTTGAGATACCTGCCTTTGCAAGCAGCGAAACTTCATTGCGTCCCCATCTCTCATCCCCCTGCACATATCTGATTACAGTATATAAAACAGCAGAAATCCCACCTAAATCTGAACAGGTGGACGTTGGTGTGGCATCAAACCGTCGCCTGAGCGCTCCGCTGCATTTGCCGCAATCAGCAAAACAGTCATCTATCATCTAACACCAAATCCCTGATCTCTGCATCAGCACTGTCTCCATGATGCCTCTCTAAGTCTTTACTCTTTGCGGTCCTACTTGCTGCTGCGTTGCCAGGACTGGGTCGGGTTCTCACCTGTGAGTGGGCTTGGTGTCCTCAGCAAATGAGGAAACACCGAGGAAGACGAGAAAAGCCTTCAAATTGTCCAAGTCGGGATCTGTGTAGGTCAGGTGAAAGCCTTTTACCGTCAAGAGCCCTTCTTTTTGCTGACCTCTCTCACCCCTTTCTTGCAATTTCTCGTACCTGATCAAGCTTCTGCGGAGCCTCTTTGATTCCGTTTCATTTTGTGGTGGCAATGTCAACTTGACTCTTTCAGGTATTGGGCTCAAGTTTAAATCGTGTTCCTCCCCTGCAAAGACTCTGCATCCACAGACAAAGGTAACACGGGTTTACCTACCTGCCTTGTGAACAACAGGCATGCCGGCGAAAATCATCTTGGCTTTGCACCGATCGAAAGAAACACACAAAGGATGTAAGGGGCGATATGCCACATTGTCTGAAAAAGAAAACTTGACCAAGGACAGGATCTTATTCAACTATAGTTTGTGCAAAACAATCCTATCTATTCAACCCGCATGGTCTGTTGTTGCATGAACTTGCAAAATGTCTCTAAAGACCCAAAGTGCACCTCTTTCTTAAGTCCGGCTTGCCCCTTTCTGATGCCCTGTTCTTGTTGTTCATTCCAACCAAACAAAAACATTCACACATAAGTGGATGAACGTATATGCCTTGTCAAAACAAAACAACTGGACAAAAAGAAACGGGCACGGCCGGCCCATTGTAAATATTGCACAGACTTGGAGCTCACGTCTTCAACATCAAGGACCAGCGTTGCAGCACACCCACTCACCAATGAATGCTTCCGAAAAGAGTGCTTAAATCTCATATGTTTCAAGAGTCGGTGTTTTATTGTTGTTGAGAGACTCTGAAAATTTGCAAGCCATCTGAGGTTTGGGCGTGAACGTGGCGTCCTCAAGCAGCCACACCCGGAAAGAATCAGCACTTGGGAAATGGCAAAGCATGAGGAAATCTTCTGCTTTTAGTTCTCCCTTCTTTGATCATTCCAGACTGCACAGGTGAACAAGTAGTTATTGTGCTGGTCGACGAGGGGCTTGCCCCGCCTAAAGTTCCTAAAGTAGATTCAAACATGTTGGGATTGCTTATGTTGTTGTCTGACATGACATGTAGGCTGTGCGTACTCGAATAGATTAGTCCGGAATAGTCCGTGTATGCGAAACTCAACCACATTCGGAATCGTAAATGTTCAAAGTCTTTTGTTTGCAACTTCACTTCAATCATCTGGTTGTTGTCAACCAAGAATCTACCTGTTGCAAGTGGAATGTGGTGTTCGATGGTTTTCGACTGGGCACAACTACAAAATGAAGGACACAACCAGTTTTTCGACGAGTCTGCCGTGGATGATGTGATGGCTGACAGTGTTCTGACAGTGTGACCACGTGGTCTGGCCGACGGGTTTGGTCATCGAATTCATCAAAGCTGCTTCATGACTCAGACTTCACGCGCACAGAGGGACGAGATGCTGCTGTTAATGGGATGGTTTCTTGCGATTGTCTTGAGGCTTTTGAGCGTATTCTGGCAAGCGTATTCTGGTGTGCGTTCAGGAAATTTATATACAGAGAGTTGCTGTGCGTGAGCCAGATGTCGAAAAGAAACATAGTTCGTTTCTGCGCATGTGTGTGCTTGTGTACACCTTGGAGTCAAAGAATTGCAAAGTAATGCAAAAATGTTGCACATGTAACATAGTGGAGGTAGCGGGCAGATCATCTGGGAGCGCTTCCGATGAAGAATGAAGACACCCATTTCATGTTATCGGAGTTGGCCACTCCGGCGTATTTGCACCGTCCTTTCGCAAACTATAGATTCCAAGGCATCGGAATGGTGAGGATGTCGGCAAATGCGCATTGATCGTTCAGCTTCGATCGTTCACCTTTTCTATTCCTTTTCGGCATCGGAATGCTTGGGAACTTAAACCTTTAGAGATGTGAGTTGGGACTCCACATTGTGTAAGCCCGGCAACATCGTCACTCAGGCCACTCGGCTGACACATATCCGCTCGATCGCCGCCCGACGGAACGCAGGCAATGCTCCCTCAACGCCATTGCTCATGACTGAAAGTCTGAACCAACTGCCCTGTGCGTGTCTTCTGATAAAAACAACAACTTCCATTCATGAAGAAACTTCCGAGTTTTGAAGACCGCAATGTCGGTAGAAAACCAGGAATCAAACGTAACAACGATCAACAACTGTGGCTAGCGCAACTGCACCGCCCCCCCCAAAAAGAGTAAATCGGGCAATCCCCCTGATCAACCCGACGCGTGGTTGCTTCCAAAAGGGTTGTCTTGACATGTCACTCTGTGATCCAGGCCTGCTGCAAAAAGCCTCAGTGATCTCTTACTTCAGACTGACTGGAAGTGGCTTCGTCAAAAGACTTCGGAGAAGTTGAAGGTGCTCTGACTGGGAAATGATTTGGTGGTGAAAGGGAAAAACGGAAACCAAGACTGGAATACGGGGAAGCGTCTTTGATTTCCTGGCAACTGGTATACCACCGCTCCAAGTGCGCGTTTCCCAGCAGTTAAGATCAGCAACTTTCAATTTCCACGATGGCTTGCTTTCGAAGAATGCGCCATGTTCTAGATTGCTCACCACTCATTTCAAGTGTGTGGGAGCCAGCCGCCAGCCTGCCTCTTCTAATGACGACAACATGTCAGCTTCTTGATTTGTTTCATTCATAGGTTTCATCTTGTTTCTCTCTGTTCTGCCATACATCCCTCGTGTACTTCCCACATTGCAAGAGCTGAGTGAGTTGATCTTAAAATCATTGCAAGCCAGTTGAATGGTCAAATACTTCTCTTGAATCAACACTAAAAACTTCTTCGAGCCGGAGGAGCCAAGCCGGGAGGGAGCAAATGTCAGGGGGTGTGACATCATCTCGCACACATTCTCTATCCGTGCAGGACTCGTCTACAGCGTTTTCAACAAGGCCTCCCACCAGGAACTGTGCTTCAGCAAGGCAAACTTTTCTGAACTTGCGTCATCCCAGCATGCCAGATCGAGCAAGAACCTTAACATTAAATGCAAAACTGCGTGCAAAACTGCATGCTGATATGTGCATATGTTTTGCATAGATCAAGCTTGTTGAGGCTATTACTACTGTTGATGAACATGCACACCAAAGGTGTCATAAGGTGTCAAAGACTACGGCCTGTTGTGTCGAGTTCCACTGGCTTGGCGGACAACCTTTGTGCGATGTGCTTCATTGCTCCAATCATCTGAAAGGCATTTTTCAAGCGACACAGAATACACCACTCCAAGCAAGATTCAGCAAGATTTGATCTACCTGTTCTTTTTTCAGATTAAAAAACTATATAAATAGAGCACGAAGCGAAGCCCTTTCCATATTGTTCCCTTTGATCTGATTCTCGGTGCCCATTTGTGGCCCGAGCCCAATTGCGCAACGATCTGCTTCTCACATGCTTCGCTGAGCCCTCGAGAGCGGAGCATCGCAGCCTCTCAAGACCGGATCACGCCGTGTTGAAATCACTCAGCGTTCCCTGTTTACCTTTCTCCAAATTTGGACATCAAATGAAAGATTCGTTCATCCCTCCACGACTCCACATCCAGTTCCGAACTCGCTGAGGCCTCTCTGGCACTTTCATCTCTGACCAGCGTCCGCAGCTCATGGCCCAGATCAGGAACTGCGGGCGTTCTTGCGCGGTGTGGCTCTGGGCGAATCCAAAAAGGCCTAAAATGGTATAGTCCACAGTATGCAGTAGTAGAAGTATGCTGATGTATAAGTAGTATCTTATAGTGTTATACCTAGGTACTGGTATCTGCTCGCCAACTTGGCGCCTTTGTCCATAGCTCCGGCCACTTTCGCCATCAAAGCCAAGTGCCACTGCTGCACCTCAGTGTCGAGTAGCTTGTTTGACGCACCATTCCCATCATCTGCATCCTTCGTATGTGTCTTTGTCACAAAAATCCAAAACACACCAAAACCAACAACTCCTTTGGCCTTGCAGAAAGCAACCTTCTGCAATTACAGGAAGGCTTGAATCTGCATTTAAGTGGAATTTCGGGAGCCTGCATATCTGGGAGTTAAGGATATTCGCAGTTTAAAGGCATACGCTCTGCTTCTCAAGGAGATTCTTCATACAAACGACAATGTATGATGCACGCCACACGCTGGCAGCTGCATCTTCGGATTCAAGCTGTGGGACGAACGAAGGGACATTATCTATCGTTCTATGATCTACAAGAATGTCAAGAACTCTACTAGAATGCTATGTTTCCCACAAAGGGTCTAGAGTCTAAAATGTGTTTGGGTCTTGCACAGGTCTGCTCCTTGCAAGCGTCTACCCTATTTGTCTGTCTTGAAGTGATGAAGCCACACCCAAAGGAACACAGCATCAAAGCCAAGAAGCTTTGGCGTCAGGTTTCACGCAGGGCACCTGTCATTTTGAAGTGGAGCAGGTCAGGCTTTGCTTGAGCACTGCCCGGACTGACTGTCAAATCGAGACTATAGTATACAGTCTACATCTATGATTATCTAAGTATCCAATGTTTCATCAACAACATGTTCTCCGTCCTTTACATTCTTTGACCTCCTGTTTCATTTTGGGACATGACACAACGATCTTACAAGCAGTTCCTGGGCAAGCCGACGGCGGAAGTTTCCAATAAAAACAATTTGACCTATAGGAGTGTCCCTTCGCACATGCCCTGCGGACGGCCTTTTTTCCCTGTCCGCAACGATGGCATCATGCAAGCAGCCCATAACGGCGTAGTCGCTCTGGCACTGTGCATGCAGCGGCTTTTCATCGGAGTGAGTGTGAAAATGAGTGTGAGTGAAGAGTGAGTGTGAGTGTGAGCGTGTGTGAGTGAGTGAGAGTGAGGGTGAGAGAGTGAGAGTGAGCATCTGAGAGCACAAAGTGCTGCGCCTTCGAGGTTCACAAAGTACTACGCCTGCCACGAAATCTGCACTTCGAGGTTCACAAAGCGCTGCGCCTGCCAAAAAAACTGCACTTCGAGGTTCACCAGTGCTGTACCTGCCACGAAATCTGTACACAAGAACCAAGTGAAAACTCTAGTTACAATGGAGGGACGATTCGAGAATGACGCGAGGACGTTCCGCAACCGTCGTTCCGCAGAGCTTGACTTGCCAGGTTCGGAGCCACCGTTTGACTTGCCAACATTTCGTGCGTCCGCTATCTCTCGAAAACGCATTTCGTACGAGACTTCCTTCCAAAGTGCATGTTGAACACCCTGCCTGCCACGACATCTGACTACGAAATCTGCACTTCGAGGCTAAACCAAGTGCTGTACCTGCCACGAAATCTGCACTTCGAGGTTCACCAAGTGCTGTGCCTGC